GGGGGGGGGGGGGGGGGGGGGTACGAGTTCATCGAGATATGCGGCGTGCCGCCGAAGAGCGCCGAAGAACGCCGAAGAGGGCCGAAAAGCGCCGAGCGCCCACGAGGTGCGACGTTCGAAAAGGAGGCGTAAAAATAGCGCGCGTCCACGACGAGTCCGTTCGTTTCGATCGTAATGCGACGAAAAGAGACGAAAACGGATACTCACGTTCCTGTGCAACACGCGAGTCGTGACGGCCACTGATCATTGCTGATCGACGATTACTCGAGAATGGAAGTTGAAACGTAATAGGAGCGACAACGTAGCTGCTGATATTAATAATCATGCGCAATAAATCATACTCGATGAAGCATGACGTTCTGCCTGTTCACACCTGTATCGCAGTTTCAGCTACGTTTTTCTTATTCCTTGTGTTTTTTCTCTCTTCTTTAGAATTCGATCTTTTTTATTCCGAATGCAGTAAAATGCTAAATGAAAAATAACATCGAGTAACATTGAGAGATAAGTGTGAGACTCGTTTTTGTCATATATCCATATTCCTAATCAGGCCTTATATTTAAGGCTTCCTTAAATTTATCTTCAGATACTCTACGATCTATTTCATTGGTTACTGAGAATCTAAATTTAAGGAAGCCTTAAGTACAAGGTCTGACTATAATATAAGCAATAATCTCTCGTTTCTTAAAGCTCTATTCAAACGGGTTTGCAATGCAGCATCAGAGCTAGAGAAACCTGAGAGTGGCCATTCCATAAGTCTATTCTGTAACTTAATGCAAGTTTTCGCTGCAGCTTTTTTATCATTATAATGATAATAAAATTTAAGAGTTACAGAATAGGTCTGCTAATATGACAGCACAGATTTTGTACATACAGAGAACCAATCACGCGTGCAATATAGAGAACACGGCACTATGATTCGTTCGCTTTAGACTGGCGATTAATCGATTTCTTTATATATAAACGCGAATGTGTGAATAGACCTAATAATTACATAAAAGATGACCTCGTGAATATTTAAACGTAGTAAAAGGATAAAGATAAAACGATAAACGACACTATAAAAAAAATGTTATGTAATTGTAACGTAAGCAGCAGCGTTTCTATTTTGATCTACTTAATTAAATTCCTATATTATATGATAAATATCAAATCTGGGATGAAACTTGTGTAGCTTGCATTAATTATTCAAGTTGTAGTAGTATAATTTTATAATGATAGTTGCTAAAAGTTAATTCCGTTAATAGTTAAGAAAATAACAGTAATACATAGTTAATAAACATTATAATATATACAATTTAAAAAGTAATTATTATTACTTAAAAATATTTGTGTATTTATATGCTTCTATGTGAAATATAGAAGACAATATATATTTTTATCACATAACATATAATATACTTTTTATGACATTTTTGCCTAAATATTTTCCTTAATCTCAATAATTTTTTCGTCAACCCCAAGTTTCTGTTTGGTAACGATTGTTCTTCTCTAAATGTTTAATAAATGTTTCTGCTTGTTCCTTTGTCATTTTTCCAATTTCTTTTGCTAAACTAACGAATTCGTCACGCACATTATCTGGCATATTTTTAGAATTTCCTGCTAAATAAATACTACCATTATTTTCTAAAAATTGCCAGCACAGCTCTCTTTGTTGGCGGATAAGATGTTGGACATATCTGAAAAAATTGAAAGCATAATTAAGAAAGTTAGGATTTGATTCATTTATTTTGCAATCTTTTTATAATTAATTTCAAAATAAATTCTATCTTATAATAATTATTTTTATTTTTAAATTTATTTTATATTTGTAAAATAATAAAAATAATTTGAAGAACAATTTAATTTAATGATTTACATTTTGTGATGCTGATCTCTGGAAAATGCGCAGAATATTTTCAAATTATTTTTTCTTGATAAACATTCAAAATCTTCTCTACAATGATAATCCTTATTTTCGTTTCTACATCCAAAAAACAGGATACATTCTTTTAAATCTTTTCCTTTTTTTACTTTCTCTAAAAGCAAAGATCTAAATGGAGCCACTCCAGTTCCAGGACCAATCAAAATCATCGGCTTATTATTATCAAACCGAAAAGTACCTTTCTGCAGCCAAAATATCACTTTATCATTATTATTTAAACTTGCCAACCACTTTGAACATAACCCAAATCTTGGCTCCACCAATCTAGTCTTAAATTTAACTACTGCTATTAGAACTTGTATTCTATTTGGAGTAGTTTCTAAACTGGAGGCAATGCTATAAGGACGTGGCTTTATGGGTGACATAATTTCAAACAATAATGTAATGTTTAATTTACTGGTCGTATGAGGGAAATCTTTGAGGACTTCCAAAATATTTCTTCTTGGCCTGTTTATATAATCATAAAGCTCTTCTTGGCTAATCGGACTGATAAATTCACATAGTTTTTCTTTTTCTAATTCATTTTCGCTGATAAGAGATAAAGTATGCATAGTAGATCTTCGTGGCTTGAAATTCAGATCCCAATATTGTTCAACAATCTCTCCTAAAGTTAAATTTCGTTTTAAAATAAATGGAACCTTTATCTCTTTCTCTGATACTTGAATTATTGTATCTGAAAACAATTTTATATTGTGTTCGTGTAGTATATCAAAAAACCGTTTTACTTGTTCTGCTGTATTCTTCGGTCTAATGTAGATAACATCTCCAGGATCGTAAGTAATATTATTCGCTTTGATTGTTATCAATCTAACATTTTGAAAGTGATCTTGGGAAGTAGTGCTTATATTTTCAACTATCGTTCCTATTCTGATGTCGCTATTGATGAATGTTTCTTGTGCATAGATATCAGTATTTAAATGATATGGAATGTCTAATAACTGTTCGTCAATACATATCGGATTTGATTGTTTCATTTCTATTATTGAAATATTATATCTCTCAATTATCAAATCTTCTTTGTTTATTTTGTTCTCTACAGAAATTTTGAAAACATTTGCAATTTCTTCCCACAATTTTTTGATCCAAGGATCGACTACAGCATCAATTCCCAGATTATGCTGATCATCGGCAAGCCCAATGGGTAATAATTCTTCGCCACCTAATTGCACGAGACGTTTATTTAATTTCTTCGCAGCAAAATTGAATTTTGAATAAGAACTATCGCCCAATCCAAGTACGCCATATTTTAGATTTTGGAGCATAGTTGCTGAGAGAGTCTTGCGTAATAGATGTCTCCAGAATTGTTTCATGTTGGCTGGAGGGTCTCCTTGTCCAGTCGTTGCAACAACGAAGATAATCAATTGTTCGAAAGGGAGATTTTGAATGTCATAATCATTCAGAGATGATACTGTGCTTTGCAATCCTTTCCTGTAACATTAAACATACATTATATACTCTCAGTTTCAAATTGGAATGTTATACATGTTTTAAACGTTAAAATATTTTTTCTATTTTTTTACATAAGAAAGAAATAAAATAAATTCATAAAGAAATTTTATTTATATAAGGTGTAAATAATCAAAATAAAATATCACTTAATTATACACTTAAGTGACTTAAAATAAATTTTATATATGTATAAAAAGTGAAATATTTTTTTCTGTTTTTTTTCTCTATTCATTTCTGTTTTATTTATTTATTTCTTTGTGTGAATGTGTGTGTGTGTGTGTGTAAAATTGTAAATTATTATGAATAACATAAATGTGCCAAAAAGAAAAATGATCCTTGGTGAATCTTCGC